AATATTTACTTTTTGGCCAAAATTATGTGGGTTTTAATTACAAAACTTCGAGCGGCTACTTCGGTTGAATCTCAACAGTATAGGTAAATATTTGAAAAGCTTTTGTTTTACATTAAATATAATAAAATATGCACAAGTTAATCCTTTAGAGGTTAATTATTTTCAACAGAAAAGCTTCAAAAGCACTTTTGGTTCTGATTCCTCTACTCGGAATTACTTACGTTTTGGTAATTGTCACTCCAAATCATGGAACGGCTAAGATATGGTTTGCATACTTCCAGGCTGCTTTGCTCTCTACTCAGGTATCCTATTGATTATTTTCTGAGATTACAAGATTAAAATTTTTATCATTAACAATAATTCTTCTTCTAAATTTAGTCTAATTAAAGAGCAAAAATTATAAAATAATGTTATAGCATTCTTTTGTATTTTTCCTCGTTAATGAGACTAAATCCGATTATTTCACTTTAATGATATTATTTAAAAACTTTTTAATTAAAAAATGCTTTTTAAACTTTATAAATCTTTTTAGCTTAAATAATTTGAAAAAACATCATTTTCTTTTATGATAAAAAGTTTTTCTTTGTTTATATATATTATATAATTAAATATAATCATTTTGAAATTCAAATATATATTTATATTAACATTATTTATTATAAAATTAATTTAAATGACATTTATCTTATTAATAAATAAATTGTTGAAAATTGTTTTAACTATTATATTAATAATCAATATTAAATATTGTAAAATTATTTATTATAAGTAAATAGATTTTAACACGGGCTATTATTTAGCGAAAATTAATTATATTGTTCACTCGTATTGACAAAATAAGAAAGTAAAGATAAAATAATGCTTATAAATGGCAATGATTGATTAATTAATGGCGTGAATGTAAAAATTTGCTATTTATAGATAAACTTTTTGATCAGGTGTTTTAGGTCACATAATGAAGAATTACTTGAAGACTTTTTCAATATCACCTCATCAAAAATCCTTTCAATATTTGGTTATAGTTACACTCTTGTAAAAAAAAAAGTTATTAAAGAAAAACTTTTTAAACGACTTTTAAATAATTTTTTTTACCTTAAAATTATAACGATATGTAGGTATTTTATTAAATATTTTTGTTTTTCTAACAAAATGCACATAAATATTTTTACGATACTAAAAATTAAACTATTTTAAAGTAAAATTTTATAGACTTACTTTTCTTAAATATAAAAAAGTTGAAATTTTTCCATAAACAAAAATTATTTAATTTTAGATTTAATATAAAAGTTTCATTTCAGTCTCTTGAGATTAAAAATATATATCTAATAAATATAGGTATATTATTTATTTGTAGATATAAAAAAAATTCTGTTTACACTTTCTATATATTAATTTAGAAACTTTTATATAGGGATTCACGGTCGCTGTACTTTACTGTTTTCTCAATGGAGAGGTAAGATTTTACTTTATATATTTGATAAAAACTGTTATAAATATATTTGCATTAATCTCAAAATTTAAAAAGAAAATTTCAGATAGAAACTTATACATTATCTTAAAATTTTATTTATTGTTTCAGTATCAATTACACATCTATTAAAATAATTATTCAGTTCAACATACGATTAGCTTTTATTTAACAATAATAAAATTTGATTATTCCTATATAATTAATTTACAGATGTATTCTGCTTACGTCCATCATTGACACTACTTCAGCTATTTTCGTAGTTATTGATCATTACTTATTGTTTCTTTATATATTCATCCCTCTAAACAGATGAAAATAAATGCTAAAATAACTTCCAGAATTCTCACCTCTGTTCACGCCATTTTTGCTTAGTATTCCTGTTACGAAATATTCTCATCATAATAGAATAGCTGTTCTCTTTTTGTTCTATAAACCGTGAGAATCAGCTGCCTGTCGTCTTCTATACGTTATATGTTTTGGAATTTTATTATAAAACTTGATACTTTGATGTTTCTTCTGTCAAAATATTGAATTTCCGCTTCATGGCTTCTTATATTGAGAAAAAAGTAATGAAATTTGTAAGTGAATAATAAAATATAAGATAAACAGTATTTATCTACAGGACATAAATAATACTAAGCAAAGTTATTTAGCGAAATTTATTTTGTATAAAATAATAATAATATGAGAATAAATTATATATATAGGCCTATATATTTTAGCTTTTTATAAATTTTTTCTATAAATTTTTCTTGAAAAAGTCCAAGAATTATTTTTTTCTTTATTTACAATTATAAACTTTAAGTCAAAATAAAAAATAAAATTAAGAAATTTGGTTTGTTATATTAATTCTTGGTATAAACATTTAATTGAATATAATTATTATTGTCTATTAATTAAACATTTGGAAAAAGTTCTCCGTTATTATATATTGCAATTGTTACTTCGAAGAAATATTCTCTTAAAAGATTTCTTTAGAATTTCATTTATTTATTTTATTTTATCCGTTGTGATAAACTGAAAGCAGAGAATACAGGCAGAATGAACTTCTTCAGAACAAAATGTAGGAGGATTTTTTTGGGGGGGAACTAAAATGCTACTAAGAATAAACAAGGAACTAAATGAGACCTTCATTAAAGTCATTCTATTATTTTTTGATTTATGTAGATTATTTGTATTAATTTAAAAGAAATATATTTTATATAAAATCATTTTAAAGAATTATATATATGTATTTAATTCGGAAAAAAATGATATATAATAAATTTTATTTATTGATACAATGCAGTTAAGAAAAAACTTTTAATACAGCTTTCAAAAGGAGTTTGTTAATTATTTTTTAATCTTTTATGTTACTGCTGTTTCCTCTACAGGAGTTCTATACATTTTATTGTCCTTAAAGAAATAAATTTTCGAAATGCCTTCTTCGTGTAGATGTTTACAATTTTGTCTTCTTGAGCTTCTCTTTCTTTACAAACACTACGACTTTTGCTTTTTATTTTAGTTTATCTTTTGATGCTTTCAAACTTGCCACTTTGCTCTCTCTTTCCCTTTAAACATGCCGTTTATTTTTCTCTTTTATTATAAAATTATTCTTCATCTAGCAACATCGATCGACTACATAACAAAACGTTTCGATTTTTTACACTTTTTAATTTGGTTAAATTTAAATATTAAAGTAATTATCCAGAGACAAGTTGGTTTAAAAAGATTTAGTACTTTTTTATTAAGGTATTAATTAGTTTATTTTTTATATAAATT